TTTACGGAGTAGTCAAATTTGTCTTCCTAAATAAATGACAGAAATATTATATTTTCATTTGACATTTTATTTAAGCTATGAAAAAAAACTCTAAGCGACATTTCTAAAAGCTCCTGAATGTAATAATTTGTGGAGTTATTCATTATTCCCGGATATGCATATTTGTTTACTTGTTCGACGTTGGTTCCGATTATAAGAAGATTCTCGCTATTTCTTTTAATTTTCGATATTCTCATAAATTTCGTCTTCTTTGCGTTCATTGTTAGACCTTGTACGTACACTTTTCCATACTCCGCTACACAGTGTTGCTGGAGCTAAATGACTTGTTGTATATTCTGTACAATCTGTCATTTATTCGTGATCCCTAGTCGACAGTTCTAGAATGCTATGCTAACTTGTAATGGTCTAGTAAATAGTTCACATATGTTTGTGTAGTCTCTTTGTAGTCTATAAAAAGTTCTTATCGTCTACGATCTTGTGCATTTCAGTCATGCACAATATGATTGACTGTTTGAGATCGGCCCGTAGGGTCTGCAGGTTGGACTCATAAAAGAGCCTCAATGTATGCAACAAGAACGCATTTTATAATTCTAAACTGATTTCTAACTATTTCTGCAGGACTTCAGTCCTACTAACCATGTCCATCCTAATATATATATTCTCATTATCTATCTATCTATCTCTATTTACCTTTATCCTGTTTAAAGTTCGGCACTTATATATTTGTAAAAAAAATATACATGTTCAGTATACTGGTAACAGTAATTTCAAAGTGGTTTGTTTAAATTTACTTCTATAAAGATACAACTATATGTATACTAAATATACAGAGTGGCCTAAAAGTCTGGAAACGGCTGATTATCTCGTAAAATGCTAATCATAATTGTACAAAATTCGAGGTACATCTATTTTGGGATACAGAGATTCCATTTTCGATATTTACAATGTTGCCAGATTTGCCGTTTCTCTTATATTATTAGTAACTTTGGATTTTCAAATACATCACCCTGTATATTCAGTCATTATTGGAATCTTCTATTCAATACGAGTTCAACCATATGTAACACTTATGATTTTATGTAATTTGGAAGGTCATAAATACATAAAACCGAAGTCTGGCAACGCCTAAATTGTTTCAATACATTTTTTAATACTAACTATTTTCAAATACATTAGAACGTAACAATTGATAGTTTAGAACATTTTTTAACATAGTAGTTACGTTATTAAGTGTTCAAAATGTGCTCAATTTGTGAGTTGACAGCACCCTAATCGATGGTAGAAGGCGTCTACCACATTTCTCCATGATTGTCTAGAAATTATTCGAGATTCATTGATAATTCTTTGCCTTAGCTCTGCACGACTTGCTGGTTAAGTTTTGTAAACTGAATTTTTCAAGTATCCCTAATAAAAATAATCTTTAGGATTAAAATCGGGTGAACGTGGAGGTCATTCAATTCTACCTTGTCTACCAATTTATCGTCCAGGAAATATCTCATCTGAATATCGCCGAACATTTACACCAACTATCTGACGTTAAATTTCTTTCGACAAAAAATGACCCAATTGAATAAGTAACTACTATATCTGACCATACATTTAATTTTTGTGGTCTTTGAGTATGGTTTTCGCGCATTCAGTCTTCAGTGTGAATTTACGTCACACCAGTACCTTGTGTCGATTTACACTTCCACACAGTGTAAAAGTTGCTTCATCGGAAAAACATATTCTGTTAACGAAATTTTAATAATTTTCAATTTTATTCATCATTACCTCAGTAAACTCTAATCTACAACCAAAGTCATCTTCACTTAATTCTTGCAATAAGTTAATTTTGTATGATTTATATTACGTAAAAACGTAAGACTGAAGAATGGCCTACATCATGTACTTGTGCAACCCTGCCTGGGGATGTATGTGGATCTTTAACAAAACTTTGCTTATATCTGAAGTTTTGTTGTCATTGATAACTCGTTTCGGTCAACCTGATCGGTATCTATCTTTTACTTCTCCAGATTCCTCAAATCGCCTTATAGTTTTTTGTGCCGTCGTCTTATGAATAGGAGAACGGTTTAGAGAACGGCATTTTAGAGAAGCAAGTTAAATTGCAGAACTTTTTGAACCATAACTACTGTCAATTTTAGTTCATAATTTAAATGGTGAACAATTGTCAAAATCACAGCATTCTCCATTTAAATATTTAAATTTATTAAAATCTACATATTTTGCACTGTTTTATGTATTTAAGATCTTTCAGACTACATAAAATCAAGTGAACATATGGTTGAACTAGAATTGAATAGCTGAAGTCGTGTGAAATTCACACTGAATGCTTGAAAACCATACTCAAAGACCACAAAAATTAAATGTATGGTCAGTTATAGTAGGTAGGTACTTATTTAATTGGGCTATTTTTTATCGAAAGAAATTTAACGTCAGATAGTTGGTGTAAATGTTCGGCGTTATTAAACTGAGATGTTTCCCGGACGATAAATTGGTAGACAAGGTAGAATTGAATGGCCTCCACGTTCACCCAATCTCAATCCTAAAGATTATTTTTATTAGAGATACTTGAAAAATTCAGTTTGCAAGTCTTGCATAGCTAAGGCAATGAATTATCGACGATTCTCGAATAATTTCTAGACAATCATGGAGAAATGTGGTAGACCCATTCTACCATTGATTAGAGTGCTGTCAACTCACAAATGGAGCACATTTTAAACACTTAATAACGTAACTATTATGTTAAAAAATATTCTAAACTATCAATTGTTACGTTTTAATATATTTGAAAATAGTTAGTATTAAAAAATGTATTGAAACAATTTAGGCGTTGCCAGACTTCTGTTTTATGTATTTAAGACCTTCCAGACTACATAAAATCATAAGTTTTACATATGGTTGAACTCGTGTTTAATAGGAGATTCTAATAATGACTGAATATACAGGGTGATGCATTTGAAAAACCAAAGTTACTAAAAATATAAGAGAAACTGAAAATCTGGCAACATTGCAAATACCAAATATGGAATATCCGTATCCCAAAATAAAAACTAATATAATTAATATGAATATCAAGTGAGTTATAACTAATCTTTTTTATTCTCCCCAATTTTTATCTTTACTCGCCTGTAAAAAGGCAAAACAAAATTTGACACTTACATTGTTTTATCTATTGCCTGCACCAGGAACGTTTCAAAATCATAACATAACATTCAACACTTTTTCATCTTGGGTCTATACAAATATGATCTGTCAGTAATGCATTATAGACAAATTTAAAAAAAAACTTTCTTTTAGAAGTTTTATTTAGTTCTTTGAAGTAATAGAAAAAATTCCAATAATTTTTTATTGCATGTTCAATAACAAAACATAACAAAACAAAAATATGAAACAAGTTCTAAGTCGAAATGATAAAATAATTCTAAATATGAATATTAAAATCGAGTATGTATTTCCTGTTCGAGCTCGAGCAACTGTCACCCTTTCTGACATAGACTGGATTATGGCAACAATCCCTTTTTACCGTATTTGTGCCCAGTATTCACCAGCGCTTTTTCTAACGAGACCACAGTTTAGTTTCAAACTCGTCATAATTTTGCCTATCTACTCTTCTCAAATAGTCCCTCGATAAACACTCTTTGGGGTTAAGATCTGGACTTCTAGGAGGTCATGCTAGTACCCGAATACCAACATCTGTAAAGTATTGCATTGTTATCCTTACTATGTGCGACCGAGCATTATCCTACATTAGGAGAAAATTGTCACCTACAAAATGCGTATAAGGTCCCACATGTTTTTCCAGGCATTCCCTCATGTAATGCTGCCAGCATTAAGGCTACTCTTCTTAACAAAATAAGATCTGTGTGCCTCCAAGTAAATGCCCATATAATTAATTATACCTCTACCATCAAACTGCTATCCTATGAGAGAAGCAATATTGAGCATAACATTCTCTAAGCCTTCTTTAATATCTATCAGGTGAAAATCTTGTAAAACGAGACTCATTTGTTATTACAAACACTTCCAAAATCTTTGGAATTTCACGTGTCCGGTTAATTTGGCTAGGCACTGTATAATGGTTAAAAAAAATGCTTTTTTATGCATAAATAATTCAGTAAGTATTCTTCTTCTTCAAGTGCCATCTCCGCGGCGGAGGTCGGCAATAATCATATCTAATTTCAATTTCAATTTTTTCTGATTTAATTTTCTGTTCGTTAACACGTACTTTTGATTGCCATTTGTAATATAAATTTGATATGATCCTGAGGTTGTTGTAGTCAATCTTCTTTGATTTCAGGACATTCATTAATCGTTTATGTCGTACTTTATCGAATGCTTTATCATAGTCAATAAAACATGCGTTTATATCTTAATTGACGTCCAAGCATTTTTGTATCAGTATATTATGAGAAACTACGAAGCTCAATAAATTCAATAAACAGTTTTAAACTGTTAATTTCAACTAGTCAGAATTCATTAATTAACAGAAGCCACATTGTTGACCGATCGTATTCTATACAGTGGCGCACCCAGGAGGGGGGTTTTGGGGTTAACCCCCCCCACCCCAGGATCCTATTCCGACACTGTTACTCACAAATTTTCAGGACTCCAATTAAAAAAATTCCGGTGCCCAACCAAACCCCCCCTTACAGGAAAATTATAGGTGCGCTACTGATTCTATACGTATTTAGTTAATGTACTTCTCTTACATGCATGTTTTATCAGTGTTTTCATCCACATATTCCACAGATTTTTTTACACAATTTTGAATATACTTGTTGTTGACAATCATAAGTGTTTGTTTTTATTTACACAGTTACACAAACTGTAAATACAGATGTTAATTGTTTATTTCGAGCCATCAAGCATTACAGTAGTTAGTTTCATTTCACATTTTAAGTTACTTCACTTTTATTTTTTATGTGTGAATTATAATTATATGTATGGTATTTTTAAAGTATTAGAAAGTTTTCATCACATAACACAACTAATTCCAGATTTTAACACAAGAAGATTGGAACATAGTTTTGTCTAATGGAATGGCAAAAACTTCAAATTGGGCTGCACTTTATTTTGTTGCCTTAATGACGTTTGGTAACTATGTGCTGTTTAATTTGTTAGTTGCTATCCTTGTCGAGGGATTTAGTTCAGAAAGAAATGAGAGAAGGGAACGAGAACAAAGAGAATTGGCAAAACGGAAAATGTCGTGCATCATTGAAGCCAGTTTGCGCAGAAATTGTGGAGATAGTAATTATTCCTTATCCAGTTCCTCAGAAAATTGTTTTCCGGTAAGTTAATAATAGATATTTCCCAATAAATTTATTTTCATACTTATTTTTATCCTTAATTACTATTTATAACTGGGAATAAGCCACAATTAAAGATAAAAATACGTTTATTGACGTTTCAATTTCCAATTCGGAAATCGTTCTCAAAATACAAACGTTTGTATTTTGAGAACGATTTCCGAATTGGAAATTGAAACGTCAATAAACGTATTTTTATCTTTAATTGTGGCTTATTCCCAGATATAAATAGTAATTAATTTACAATGCCACAAGAAAATAGCTTCAGAACAATATTTTTATCCTTGTTTGATTCATAAGCAAATCTTGATTTTAGCTTATAATTTTCCCTAAAATATATTCTGTCTATTATACAATAAATGTCAGGCCATGGAGTTGGGATGTCTACATATTGTACAAAGTGTAGCAATACTTATACGCTTATGAAACGCACCGGTGCATCATAAGGGTCTTCACATTTTACTTTTTTTTCAACTAGTCTTAAGTGAAATGTCTTTAATCTTTTCTATCAGCCTCTCTTGTCTAACTCTTGTTTCTTCCTACTCCGAATGGCTATTAGGTTTCCTAAGGTATAAGTCACTATATTTCCTTCTACTACATACTTTTCAACAAACAAAGTGAGGATAGCCAGAGATGCCGATAGGTTGGACAGTGGTAGCTGGCTGATCCAAATCTGATCATGCGGCGAGAATGATAGTCACAGAAATTTTAGTCTAGTCACTAAAATCTAATGCATAACACATAAAAACTCATTGTGTCCAAGACTGAGATGTAGTGCATTAACGTCCTTTCCCCCCTTTTAAATTTAATGTTTGTTTCGTCCCTTCTACGTGTTTTCTATTTTAGTGTGTTTTAAATTGTCCTTAGTTGTTTTAATTCTAATATTTTATTTACTTGACTTTACAATAATCTACTGTTTTGCCAATAGATATTTATCAAAGTAATTTGATAACTACAAGTTGAAAAATAATTGCACACCCACACAATTTATACATCTAAACTTATTCATTGTCATAAAACTGTCACCGTCATAAAAAAATTACTCAATAAATAACACACATTTCATAAATATATCTCTCGAATAAGTATAAATAACTTTTAATAATACAATGGTATATTACATCACTTTCATTTAACAAACAATCACACACATATCTCTTCTTCATTGGATCAAATCTATCTCCTCAAGAACTTCCCGTTTACTGTCAAACAACTACAATAGCAGAATTGAGTTCTCCATTCAACAATACATAGTAGTTTCAACCATGTTCTACCATTCATCAATTAATAGAGTACCGGCATCATTTATTTAACTTTGTATCGAGACCTGAGGATGCTTTGCATATTGTAGAAAGCGAAACCGGTCGTCTGATAGTTAAATTAAATTGATTGTGAGTAAGTCTTATTTATTATTTCTTTACCTATTCACGGCGGCTCTAAATAAATTAAATGTGGTTTCTTGATACCATTCTCGGAGATTTCGTAGCCAGGATGTTCTTCGTCGGCCTGGGCCTCTCCTTCCGTCGATCTTACCCTGTATTATGAGGTGTAGAAGGTTATACCTCCCTGGATGTCTCATTACATGACCGAAATATTGTAACTTCCGAATTTTTATCATTTTTGTTATTTCTGTGCTATTTTTCCTTCGATGTAAAACTATTTCATTTCTTATTCGATCAACCCAACTTATCCGCAATACTCGTCGATAAATCCACATCTCAAAAGCCTCTAATTTTTTCATTAATGTCTCTGTAAGGGTCCAGCTCTCCATACCATACAGCAATGTGGAGAATATGTAGCAGCGTATTAATCTGATTTTAAGATTTAACGTAATATCTCTATTAATTAGAATTTTCTTTAATTTATAGAAGGCGGATCTGGCTTTTTCAATGCGTATTCTTATTTCTTTATTTATATCCCAGTTATCGTTAACGTTTGCACCCAAGTAGGTAATATTGTGGACTCTGTGAAGAACAACATCTTACAATTATAAACACGTATAATTAACATCATCCACGAAGATTATACACATGGCGCAGCTCAGATGGACGGACAAGAAATCAAATTGACATCTTAATAAGATCAAGATGGAAGTCGTCGGTTATCAACTGTAAAAGATATCCTGGCCCAGACTGTGGAAGCGATCATTAACTCCTGGTATTGAACATTTGAACATTTTAAAGTCCCCAAAAGAAGACCCCTAAGAAAAGTAATGTCTCTAAATTCATCAAAAATTAATGGCTGTTAATAAAACCTAGAAGCTCTTTCTTTAGACCAAGTGGATAGTGTCCCTGAGAGCACTTGGACCTATCTCAAAGATAAGGTAATCGAGGCTGCAACGGACTGTAAGACAGCGGTTTCCACAGGCCGTAAGCCGTGAATATCCGATAATACGTAGACTGTGATTCAACGTAGAAAGAAACATAAAACTAGACACGGAACAAACGATAAATACAGAGCTTTATCGAAAGAAATCAGAAAACAGTGCCGCAAAGACAAATCTGATATATATATATATATATATTATATATATATATATATATATATATAATATATATATATATATATATATATATATCGGTTTTAAAACGTTCTCCTACGTCTTCCGATGCCTAGTCGCCATTCACTTCGGTCCATCCAAAGGTCTTCATCTAATTCTCTTTCTCTCATACTTCGATTTATGCCTTCTCTCCAACTAAGGCGGAGTCCTCCTCTTTTTCGTCTACCATGAGGGGACCACGTTAGGATTTGTTTCGGGAGTCGTTCTTCGAACATTCTTTGTACGTGTCCATACCATCTAAGCTGTTTGGTACTAATGTCATCTACTATTGTGTGTTTCACATTCATTATTTCCTTAATTCTGTTGTTGGTTGCCCTTTCTAATCTTGATTTTCCTGCTGAGTGCCTCCAGAAATCCATTTCTGTTGCTTCAAGTTTTCTCTTGTATCTTTCTTTTATTTGCCATACTTCACTGCTGTAAGTGATTATACTCTTAATAATTGTATTGTATATTCTATGTTTGTTGTTGTTTGATATTGCCTGGTCCCACAGTATGCTATTGAGAAGGGTAATTGCTTTTCTTCCCTGGTTGTTTCTTTCTTCTATCGTCCGGTCTACGTTTCCTTCTTGTGTGATGGTCATACCCAGGTATTTATATGCGTCGCAATGTTTAATAATTTCGCCATTCCCCAGTGTAAGGTCCTGCTGTGTCCCACCGATACACATATATTCGGTCTTTTTTATGTTTATTTCCAAACCACCTTTTTTGTACTCCTCTATTAATTTCCTTGTCATATATTCTATATCATCGTAGTCTTGCGCTAGTACAAGTTGGTCGTCTGCAAATGACAAAGTGTATATTGTATTGTTGTTGATCGGTAATCCCATGTTTTTGCATTTGCGTTTCCAAAGTTTTAGAGTTTGCTCGAGGTAGATCTTAAATAATGTCGGTGAAAGGCAGCACCCTTGTTTTAGGCCTTTGCTAATTTGGAATCCTCTCGATAGCCCGCTGCCAACTTTCACCCTTGCTTCAGTTTTGGTATACAATTGTTTCGTCGCTGTTATTAAATTTGCGCTTATATTGGTTTTCTCTAATGCTTCCCATAGTTTGTTTTGTGGGATGCTATCATACGCTTTTCTCAAGTCCACATATAACAGATGCACCTCCTGGTTGACGGCCAGTTTCTTCTCAATAATCTGGGTAATACAAAACAGATGGTCAAATCTGATTACATCTCTCAAATAATTAGAGAGATATCAGAACATTGCTGTCGAAATGAACCGAAGGATTTATTTTAGAAGATCAAACTCCTTACCAAAGAATTTAAATCTCAAACGTGGTCTGTAATAGATATGGAAGCTAATCTGAAGACCAACACACTACAACACTACGTTTATAATTTCAAATCCAAAACATGGCAATTTGATTACAAGATCGAGACTAAGCAAATCAACTGTTAAGTTGTTTGTTACAAGTGCCAATTAATAAACATATATACGTAAATATAATTTTAATTCATAATATTTTTTAACGATTTCCTAATTATAAATCTAGACGTCAAAAATAAAATAAAGTGTAATGTATATGTGTCGTTTCCATGTTTTCTCAACAATATTTTTTCCATATTGACAGTTTTAGTTAATATTTCTATGCTGTATTTTCCGGAAACGTAATAAAATGTTGTATTTTATATTTTAAAAATAAAACAAAATATCCACACAAATATCTAAAAAATAACAAAGCACCTGGCACAAGTGGCAGAACTGATAAAGAATGGTGGACATGCGCTATGGAGGCGTATCCATAAACTAATCGACCGCATATGGACACTAGAAGCCATCCCAGAAGATTGTAAAGTGGAAATCATACTTCCTATATACAAAGGGGAGACAAACTACACTGCAAAAATTATAGGGGCATAACAGTTTTAAATGTCGTCTACAATATATTATCAGGAATTATAAACAGCTGCCTGAAATCGTTTTCGGAGGATATGGTCGGTGAATACCAATGTGGCTTCAGACCAAAGAGGTCAACTATAGATCAAATACATATGTTAAGAGATATACATGAAAAATGTGTTGAATATGACATACTTATTTACAACTTGTATATCGATTTCACACAGGCGTTTGACGGAGTAGATCGACAAAAGATGTTAAAGCAACTATCTATGTTAGGGATACCCAATAAGTTGGTTAAACTTATACGAATGACTCTGGAGGGTTCCAAAGCTATGGTGAGAATAAATGGAGATATGACGCAGGCCTTTGATATTGAAAATGGAGTTAGACAAGGTGATGCCTTATCAACAACACTTTTTAATCTAACTTTAGAAGCTGTTGTTAGAAAACTGGATATATAAATGAAAGCAAAACAAAATATATGGAGTGCACAAAATCAAATCAACATGATAAGTTGAAAGTAGACAACCAGACCTACAAATATGCCTCCACTTTTCCCTACTTAGGCTCAATAATAAAACAACAACATCAGTCAAGAAATACAAGCGCGACTTCTTAGCGATAATAAGTGCTTTTATGCATATAAAGACTTAATGAAAAGTAAGTTACTGAATCGTAAGTCTAAGTTTAGAATTTACAAAACAGTAATTAGACAAGCAATACCAGCTGAATGGAATAATTCTATAACGCTCCTCATGCATAAGAAAGGAGATCAAACAGACCTCGAAAACTATAGGCCAATCAGTCTTCTAAGTCACCTGTATAAATTATTTGCTCGAATTATCACTGCCAGAATTGAGAACAAACTAGAAACATGCCAACCAAGAGAACAGGCAGGTTTCCGCCCTGGGTATGGTACCTATGACCATCTAACTTGTCTAATGGCCCTAATTGAAAAAACTATAGAGTACAACCAGCCACTAGTTCTAGTATTTGTTGACTATAAAAAAGCCTTTGACACTATCGAGATGGTAGCTATCTTAAGAGCTTTGAGAGATTGTAGAATCGACTACCGATATACCAGCATTATTCAACATATATATGTAAATGCCACAACAGCAATAAATCTCCACATCCCTACTCAAAAAATGAAACTAAAAAGGGGAGTTAGACAAGGAGACAACATGTCACCAAAACTATTCAATGCCGTAATGCAGCATGCATTCCAGATGTTAGAATGGGAAAACAGAGGTTTGAGTATCGATGGCGAAAGGCTGAACCACCTAAGATTTGCAGATGACATAGTTCTAATAACCGACGACCTAAAGGAGGCCAACGAAATGCTACAAGAGTTACAACGAGTCTCCCGAGAAAAGTAGGGCTGGAAATAAACTTTGCGAAAACTAAAATGATGACCAACTTAGTACCTAGTGGACCATTGAAACTAGAAAACTGGCATATTAATACGGTTGACAAATACATATATCTGGGCCACGAAATACAAATAAGTAGAGACAACCAAACATGCGAATTATCTAGAAGAATAGCTTTAGGATGAGCAGCCTATGGCCTAAAAGACGTGTTTAAGGAAAACATCCCAATAAAGCTAAAGAGAAAAGCATTTAACCAGTGCGTACTTCCGGTACTCACTTATGGAGCTGAAACACTAACATTGACTAAAGCATCAATAAAAAAGTTACAAGTAGCACAACGAAAAATGGAAAGATCTATGCTTGGCGTAACTTTGAGAGATCGAATACGAAATGATAAGATACGGCGAAGAACTGGAGTGGAAGACGTCATAAAACGGATTACGAAGTTGAAGTCGAAATGGTCAGGATACGTCGCAAGACAGAGAGACAACAGATGGACAAAGAAGATTTTAGAATGGCGGCCAAGGGCAGTCAAGCGAAATCGTGGAAGACCACCTACCAGATGGACGGACGACATTAAAAGAATAGTGACAAACTGGATCGCAGCTGCACAGGACAGAGAAGAGTGGAGACATCTTGAGGAGGCCTATGTTCGACAGTGGACAAATTTGGCTGTGTGATGAATAAATTAGACAAGTGGTCACATGTGGATGTGAAATGTGGACCCTCTCAACCATTGATGAAAATCATCGTGAAGAATTAAAATGAACCACGAGCTGGATGAACTAATGCAGAGCGCAGATTGTTAGATTTGTAAAGTCACAAAGACTAAACTGACTTGGTAACCTAGAAAGAATGCCAGATTATCGAGCTGTAAAAGTAGTGCAGATATAGAAGTCCCAAGACAACAGAACAAGAAGAAGGCTTCGTAAATATAGATAGACGACGTAGAGAGGGATCTTAAAACCGTGGACATCAGGCAGTGGCGAAGGAAAGTGTCCGACAGGGCAGAATGGAAGAACATTGTTAAGCAGGCCAAGACTCACAAAGGGTTGTAGCGCCATTAGAAGAAGAAGAAGATCCTCACAAATGTACCCTAATAAGTATGTAATCTTCTTCTTAACGTGCCCCATCCCTAAGGACATTGGTGATCATCATGGCCCATTTGACTATATCTGCAACCGTTCTGAATAGCTCTATTGACACGTTTTCCCACTTCATTGTCATAGATTCTTCAACCAAGACGTGTGTCTTCTCCCCGATCCTCTTTTGCCTTCCACCTTCCCTTGTATGACCAGTATGTGATAATACCATCTTTTAGGAATACAAAAATTATTGGAAGCCCGATGAAGCCAGAAATGTCAAAAATTTAAACCAGCACGCAGCCAGTTGCGATTTTAAGGATATTCATCTAAATGGAAACTATCCATTTCGGTATAGAGATCCGAAATCAAATATACAAAAAGAAAGTTTAGCAAGGCTTCCGATAAAAAGGGTAAGTAGTCATAGATAATTCAGATAAAAAGCGAGTCGATCCAACCAAATCTTGTCAGAGACGGAGTTATAACTAACAGGATTTGTCTCAAATAGAAAGAGAAAAATATTCTCCAAAATAAAATATTATTTGCTAATACTAAAATAAAAAAGAATGGGGTGTTAAATAATACTTGTTTTATTTGTTTTTTAGTCATCTCCTCCAATCATTACTCATACTGCAGCAACACCACAAGATTCACCAAGTATGACACTAAAAGAATTTTCGGAATTCCAATTTCAGGTAAACAATTCAACCTCAACAATAGAAGGCTCTCAACCTTCAGTAAATGTTATAACTCAAAAAATTGAGGTAAGATAGGAAGTGTTTAACGTAGTGTGTTTTAGATTTCCTACACACATACTCACCAAAAACAAAAGTTATATTGACAGTATTGAGGCATTTTACTAAATTTATATTAATCATTTCTTTAAATTTTAGAATTCAAAATTATTAGTTCCGCCAAAACTTTCTCCGCCTCCGTCAACGTTTCGACAGTTTAAACATAGCAGCGTAGACGATTCGAATAGAGTATGTAAAATAGTGACATATAATGAGAAAAGCGGACCTAATACAGTGACGTACTCCGAAAAGGTTACTCCAGCTTTTTGCACGGGGAGCACCAAACATCTAGCCAGTCGAGGTAGTTGGGAAGGTCCTAGAAAAGTTGCTACAAAATCTAGTTTTAAAAAGAGCAAAAACGTTTCTGAAGTACCAGCGGAAAATATACCATTAAATAATGGAAGACATCATTCTCAATGTAGTGGAAAGGGACAGGCAAGTAATATACTATTATGATCTGCTTTTTCTTACTTTTATGTTAACTTTTTATTTATTTATATATATATATATATATATATATATATATATATATATATATATATCGGTTTTAGAATGTCTTTCGACGTTGTCCGATGCCTAACTTCCACGTCCTTCTATCATCCCATTGGCCGTCTCTAAGATCTCTTGTACTCATTGCTTTAGTTACCCCTTCTTTCCATGTCTTCTTGGGTCTTCCTCGTTTTTGCGGTTTGGTGGTACCCACTGCATAATCTTCTTGGGTAGTCTTGTGTCTTCCATTCTTTGAACATGACCATACCAGATCAACTGTTTCCTCTCAATGTCTGTTGTTAAGTAACCATCTATTCCAATTCTTCGTCTTACTTCCTCATTTCGAACTCTTTCCCTGCGGGATATACCTAACGATCTTCTAAACACATCCATTTCTACAGCTTCTAATTTTTTTCTGTTGTTCTCGGTTATTCTCCAAGTTTCTGCTCCATAAAGTAGACTGCTTTTAATTAGTGACTCATAGATGTTATATTTTCGCTTTATTCCTATTTCAGAGCTCCAAAGTATTCCATTTAGGCAGCCAATTGTTCTTCTAGCTTGTGTAACCCTTTTCTTTATTTCCTCATCGTCTTTTCCCGTTCTATCGAAGATTACTCCCAGGTACGTATATTCACTACAGGAGGTGATTTCTTCATTATTCTCTACTTTGATATTGGATAACTCAGCTCCTATGGGTAGGTATTTAGTTTTTTCTACATTTATTTCCAATCCCCACTGTTCATATTCCTCCTTTAGTTTTCTTGCCATATACTCTAAATCGTCTTTATCATTGGCTATGATGACTTGGTCATCAGCAAATTGTAAGGTATATAAACAAACATCTCCGAGGTCTATACCCATACCGTGACATTTACGTTTCCACTGGTTTAGTGCTTTTGCAATATATATCTTGAACAACGTTGGTGAAATACAGCAGCCCTGGCGCAGACCCTTGTTAACGATGAACTTTTTAGATCGTGTGTTGCCAATTTTTACTTGTGATGTAGAATTTTCAGATAGATTTTTTAAGGCTTTGATTAAAGTGTAGCTAATGTTAGTTTCTTATAGTGATTTCCACAATTTAGTTACAGGCACGCTGTCGTACGATAAACAAACAATCTCAGGGTGCCATTTTATAAAAATACTAAATCAGCTTAGGTTACCGGATCGTCGTTTGGTCTCGAAACATTTTAATGTACGCAGGCGCAACGTGTTTTTGGAATTCCCTTCTTAAAACCGCTCGAGTAGTCAACAAGAAGCACATATGGAAACAGCGATATTTTGTTTTTTTGTCTTGTAGGAGGAACCACTGCCAGAAAACTAGTGCAATTTCGTCGTTATCTGTCAACATCTTTAATAAAACTGATTGCAGTATGGTTTGTGCAAACATTTTGTTTCTCTTGAAAACAAAATGTTTCTTGTGGAAACAAAAACGTTTTTGTTTAAAACAAAAACGTTTTTGACTAAAACAGTTTTGCTCTTTCTGTGTGCGGCCACCCTTACTGTCCCAATGAAAATTGTAGCATATAAATAATTTTTTTTTTCAAACGTCAAGTAATGATGACATTATGTATCTAACTTGATCCTGTCAATGTTTGATGTCTCCGCCGGCAGCAGTTTTTTTCCCATTTCTTTACGCGGAGGGAAAAATGTTGTCATGGCAACAATATGAAACATTTCACAAAGCAACAATACAATTGTCATTAACAACAATTAAACATCATTTTTATTTATAGTATTATTAAAAGTACAATTAGTTAATGAGGCATTTTCAAAATTGAAACCGTGCAAAAATGTTTCCGACTCTTGATACGGGACAACAACTTTCAGCAATCATTTCCGATATTGGCGAATCATGAGGGTTTAAAATTTTTTGAGCATTATCGTTCTTATTTCTTATTGAATCCTCTATATATCCTTCGGCAACCGTGCTTGATTTCCAGCCCCCATGTCGTTTGAGGCATTCTAGATTTCCGCCTCCATCAATTAAAAGTGTTGCTGAAGTTCGTCGTAAAGAGTGACCCGTGTATGCGCTTGCCTCGTTTAAATTTAAATAACTAGCTACTTTTTGGGCTACTGCGCTGATCGAATGTATTCCCATGACGCTTCGGTAACACTTTCCATTTTGGTACTTGATAAAAAATCGGTTTTCTGTGAAATTTTCAGGCCGCAGTGATGCATACTTTTTATACAGTTTAATGTAGTTTTAACCAATTATCGTAAAAGATCTAATTTGTCGTGTTTTACTGTCTGGGATTTTGATAATAATTACATTCGTATACATACATTACATTTCGTCGCATCGACAGGCGCCGCTAACCCCAATTAACAAAACAATCTTAATTATTTTTATAATTTAGTAGAGTATACTACATACTTTGCAATATAATTTTTTTACCTTTAATCCTAAATACAACTTATCTGGCGCTTCAAACAAAAATTTATCAAACTAGTCTTTAGTGAAAACTTTAGACTTCTTTGCAGTATATCCTTCGCTTGTTTTTTTTAGAAAACCACGTAACTTTAAAAATTTACTTATATCCACATTTTTTTTTTAATAACTAACTCGGATTTTATCATAGAGTATCGTGACCACATTGTAGAAGATTTCCATTTATTTTCATTTTCCATTATATTAAAATATGCCAGTAAAACGTCTTCGGTAACTTGCCGTACTCCTCTTGTATCGCACCACTCTTGGAAGTGCTTGTACGCTAACCGATACTTTATTCCGGACTTCGAGGGCCCCAAACGTGCTACTGCATCATTAGCCGCGGACTCAATTTCGTTTAGGTTTTCCATTTTCGCACTAAATTTGCGGTTGCAACAACAATAAGCTGTCTTTAATAACTGCAAACAACTGTAACCAGGGAGACGCAAATCCCACCGACGACTTAATTATTTTAATTTCTAACATTTAGACCACTTTGATAGTTGTCACAGTTAATTTTGAGTAAAAATAGCATATGAATTGTAATATTTATGGTTGAAAATTGCTACTTTTGAAGAAACAATAGTATACTTTATTCGGCAAAGAAGCGACTTTTCTTGACTTGCCCTCTTGACTTTGCCTCACTTCGTTCGGCGCGTAATATCGAGCGCGTCAAGAAAAGTCATGCTTCTCCGCCTCATAAAGTAATATACTATTAATTTACCAAATTTTAATAGTTATCGGTTTGTTTTTTGTAACATTGATAAAACAACAACAAGAAATTGGGATAAGAAATTAATTACATGAAAAAAATTTCGTATGAAAATTTCTAAATATTGGAATCTTTGTTCATATGTTTTTATACATATCCCATATCCCTCTTTGTGATTACCGCATTTAGAAAACATAATAAGTTGTTGGTTTTTTTTGGTTATTTTAATTAAATGTTCTTTACAATTAATGTCTATCAAAAATCTGCTTAGTGTTTTTAGTCCATGAGACCAAATGATGAACAATCATCTACATATCTCCACCATATTTTGTGATTTTGTTCATGTTTGTCAACAATGTTTGCCTCCAACTCTTTTACGAAAATATCTGGAGATAATGGAGATAATGAAAAGCATATGGCTATAAAATTCAGAAAAATTTTTACTGTTCTGAATGTAAAAAGTTGAAATTTAATCTTTGGTACAACGCTACCTTTGTATTTAGGTTTGTATTTGGGAAAACTTATGCAAAGATATGTAACATTAAAACAGAGTTGGTTATAAAGATAAACTCTACCCAAAACTAACTTTTTAATTTATGGAATAATCAAGTCCAACACGCTAATATTAAGATTTCTTCTTTTTTGCAGAGTCCAATCCCAGCACATTTAAGAAGAAAAAACTACTTTAAGAAAACGTCCATTCAAGAAAACCAAGTTAGTAAAAATAGTAATGTACATGCAAAGAAGAATAATACTAATACAATCAAATTTGTTAACAAATCCAATGAGAAAATACATCCACAATTAAGTATTGACAAAGGCATCAAAGCAAGAATAAAGAAAAAGATATCCTCGATAATCCAGCCAGCTGATTTTTTGAAGGATAGGGAGGACTATTCATTGTATTTATTTTCACCTAATAATAAGTAAGTTCTCGTAAATTTAGAATGTGTAACAATGTTTTTGGTATTAGAATTATATACATACTGCGTAGTAACGAATATTTGGCCTACCACATAGGGTATTATTATCGGGGGTTAAAAATTGGGGACAAAAATTACTGTGGTGAAGATAGAGCAAGCAAAACAAATCAAAACTTTTGCGAACGGCTACTCAGGCTTTAGTTGGAGAACTGGATCGTGGATAAGTGAATGACAAGGGGACTAAAATGGGTAACTACAAAAATGAAACAAAGATTACATAAGTCTCCTGGACAAACAAAACACAAGAAGGTTCCCAAGCTATTTAATGAAGAATCTTCCTGCTGGATGAAAGAAAAGGTTCTTTCTTCCTAAAAACACAAAAGGGGTTAGGAACTTTTTTTAAATAAATAAACAAAATGGTTTAGGGAAAAAATTACACATTTATTACTGTCTCACTATACTATACACTACTGTAAGAATACTATATTAATAGTTACAAAAAATAAATACAATAACAAAGAAAAACACTTACTTTGTTCTATCAGTTTACAAACTCTAGAAGTTGGAGATTGTTAAAATTGTGTTACAATTGTTAATGGGCGATAATTTGTATAATAGTAGAAATAAATTATTACAAATAAAAAAAATATCTTTTTGAATGAAACTACGCATATAGGTTAACCTTTTTTTTTAACAAAGCAAAAATAAGATCTGTTGATGATTAGGTATTTACCAAATGGAAAAAAAATAAAGCTAGCTCTCAGATGTCAACATTGAATTTTAAGACACAACAAATAGCAAGAGACCATACCCTAGCACATATAATTTTAATTATTATAACATCTTAAACTGTTATGAAAACAATTCTTATTAGAAAACGTTTATTTTTCCTTTAAAAATCAACACAAAAGAGTTACCTGGATTTCACTCAAATTTCTTAACTTTAAATTTCTGAGATTGGAACTGGACTTCACTGGATATTTATTGCCACGCAATATACTGCATCTGACATTGCGAATTAGCCTGGAATGAATTTAGACAGACAAAATGAGGATTGAGCACTGGGACACAAATTTTAAACTCGGTTTCTTAAAAAGCTGAAACTATGTGGATATTTTTCAAATTTGTTGAAAACGTCGGTAATCTCTTAGATACAAATCTCTTAGGTGAGAGACGACATAAAACAAAAACAGTGATTACTCGTTCAAAATTGACACATTACATTGAGTATAATTTACTTTTTTTAACCAAATTGCTGCTTCACTCAAACTACTACGCAGACGTGTGTTCTTAATGACCAACCTTTCAAACCTTATTAACTGCACATAAAACTTTACACTGCTACACATTTCCCCATGAAAAAAAAAGGCGAAAAACGAAAATCCAATACGAATTTGAAGCTAAATTCGGACAACAACGATACCAACTGCACTTGACAGCGGCTTTACGGAGAATCTGGTAATTCTCTTCCCCGCAATACTTTCTCAGCGAACTAAATCGATGTTTGTTTATTTGAAACGCAATATTAGACGGAAATCGATCGAAGATAATACCAAGGAAAGACACATCTGTGAAATACAAACAAACTCTAAAATATTTTTATTATCAACTCGTCGACGCAAAAAGGATTGAAAATACTTTTTCAGTGTTTTAACATATACGAGGTGATATCAATATAAACCAAAGAATTTAAAAATGCTATAGCGTACGTACGTCAGACTGGTTAAAGTCAGCATTTGTAACAATAACAAAAAATCTTATTCCTAACAAAACGACGAATACTGAATGATAAGTCTACTATCTCATTTTCGTAAAACGTTTCTCATAATTAATCGCTAATAATCGCTTTTGGGACTTATTCGTCTATTGGGACTAAAATATTGGTACCAGGAGTAGGCAATTTTTTTTATTTTCACGTAAAATCACGTTGAATTTTCTATTTAAGATTTCAAACTTGACCCCCACCACTTCCCACATGGGGTAGCGGTGGAGGGTCGTGTTTGGTCTCATTTGATACATTTTTGAAAAATATTACACACGTGTTTTTCAGTGTTTCCATACGATGTTCATTTCACGAAAGATTCGACCGTCATGCTTGTTTTGTTTTAGAGTTATTCCAGGTTAAATTATTGTCCAAAATTTTTTGTAATATTTATTTGTATTTTAGGTTTAGGAAATATTGTTGTTGGGTAGTAAAGCAAGCTTGGTTTGATAACCTGGTACTAATTTTCATAGCGCAGAATTGCATTACACTTGCAATGGAAAGACCAAATATTCCACCTGACAGCCCCGAAAAGATATTTTTACAATGTTCAAATTATATTTTTTCAATTGTATTTGCTACAGAAATGTTTATTAAAGTAAGTATATATAATATATCGCAAAAATGTGTTTATGGAAGGATGAGAAAGAACAATTTGCAAGAAAATGTTTCAAAGCTATTTGTTTAATGATATTTCTTTTAAAAATATTGTCATTTTATTATATATTTTAAGGTAGTTGCATCTGGAATGTGTTACGGACCAAATGCGTACTTTACTTCTGGATGGAATGTGATGGACGGATCCTTAGTCATAATATCTGTTGTAGATATTATAATGTTCTTAATAAATGACACAACATCAAGAATATTTGGAATTTTAAGAGTAAGTAAAAATGAATATGTTTTGCTTAATAAAATTGATTTTTTATTTTATGAAATATGCATTTTTGCCATATAGAATGGACTCGCGATTATCCGAGTCCCCATTAACCTAGCCTCTGGATTAACCGATGTAGTAATTGTAGTGAACAAAATGTCAGTAGCGAGTGTTATTGTTCTAGCCACTGTGCTTCTATTTGCCGCCTTATCACTTTTACAAGTTTATTCATGTCTTCTCTTTGTGTATTTTTTACGTAACTTGAAGGGCAATATAAGTTTAAAATGTAAAGGGAGTCAGTAAATAAGGTTGCTGCTGATCTAGATGTGACTGTGGAAGATTATAGACGTAAACAAAAAGATATTAGACAATGGGTTATTAAAAATGTGAATGGTTGAAGTAATTTATTGTGGATAACTATGAAGAAAGGAGACTACGAACAGACTTCTGAAGCTTTATTTTTATGGTTTTTTACTCTTCGAGGGTTGGGAAGTCCAATTAGCGGTCCCATGCTTCAAGCTAGGGCTGACAAATTTCACAAACGGTTTAAGGATGACGAGAAAAATTTTACTGCAAGTGATGAATGGCTGAACAGATCAAAGAAGAGGTCTGGCATCCGACAACTGAATATTTCCGGTGAAAAAGTTTCGGCCGATTCATTTGAAATTGAGCCGTTTAATTTAAAATTAAGAGATCTCATTTTAGAACACGGCCTCACTCAGACCAAAGCTTCAATTGTGACAAAACGGGTCTCAATTTCATAATGCTTCCAACCAAAACACTGGCAGCTCAAAGTAAAAAAGCTACAAAAAAAGTGTCAAATCAGATTTGACTTCGTTAGACTTTTTTATGGGGATATTTAAAGACTAAAGTGTATCAAAGTCGACCGAATAATGTAGAAAAGTTGAAGGGGCTCATCAGAATGGATATTGCATAAATAATTCCTGAAGTCATTGAAACAGAGAAATATAATGAATAGTTACAATCATTTCAGAAGATATAAAAGTTTCCTAGTGTATTATGTAATATTTTGTTTTAGGTATTTCGTCTACTCAGATCACTCCGCCCATTGAGAGTAATAAATAGAGCTCCAGGTTTAAAATTGGTTGTACAGACATTATTATCGTCTCTTAGGCCTATCGGAAATATTGTTCTCATTTGCTGTACCTTTTTTATTATATTTGGAATACTGGGTGTACAGGTAGGTAATGTCTTTTTAAGAGTTATCATTTATGCTTTCAATCTTTAAAAACGAAAAAACAAAAACAATAACAAAATAAACTTTACTTAAATAAATAGACAAATACGTATTGTTATGTTATTACTTTTTTTTTACTTGATTATTTGACCAAATCAAAAATCATAACTTAATTTTTCTCAGAGTGAAAAATCTCCTTATATTAACCTATGTTGTGTGGGACCAAAGATTTCCTAGTTATCCTTTATCGGGATAGAGAAAAAGGATAATATTAAAAATAGTATGTTACAAAAAATTGGTATTCTTTATTTTATTTAAAGAAGAATAAAACAATTATCAAATTTTGCCGTTATCTTATCAATCAGCGTACATGAATACAATAAAATTTACACAAAAAGAATATTTTAAGTCTTATTGAAGACAAAACCAATTTAAAGCCAATTTCAACGAATATCTTTAAAACTTTTTATCTTTCTGATTTTTTACTAGGTTATCTAGGTCATATACAAACAATGAAAGATTATAATGAGTATGGGCTTTTTAATTCTACCTATATAAAAAGATTTTACCTGCGAGTGTTTAAAAATCAGTTGTTGACAGGCAAAACTTTCTGTTAATCTAATCTTATCTTAATCTAATACATAAATTTGGTTTAACAGGATGTCTTGAAAATTTATTTAAATGGTCTATTTATAAATTTTATTTTTCTCTTTGGCTGAGAAGAAGAAGTATGACAATATAGTAGTGAATACAAAATCGCAATTTTCATATGATATGTATAGACCCATTGATCAGAAGTATAATATATTTTGTTTTATTTAGTTGTTCAAAGGATCATTCTACTATTGCGTGGCTGAAAATTTGACCGGCATTGAAACTAAAGATGACTGCATATCAAAAGGATACAATTGGAAAAACCAAAAATATAATTTTGATGACTTAGTTCAGGCTCTGATGTCCCTATTCGTCTTAAGTTCCAGAGATGGCTGGGTGAATATTATGTACACAGGACTTGATGCGGTAGGAGTTGACAGACAGGTAAGAATCGATAATAATTATATCTCGATGATTTATATTATTACAAATTTAAGTTGTGATAGCTTCTTTATATATACATTCAAGTTTATCACTTCAATGATCCGTTCAAGTTTATACGAAGTTGTGACATTGAAAGAAATCCGAACACCCATTGTAAATTATTTTATATTACTAAAATTTGATATACAGGCAAATCAATAAATGATTAGAATTTCAGCCATATCCGTTTAGGTTTTCGTTTTTTATTCATTTAATGCCCAATGCACGGTATATGGCGATAACCTAAATGCACGTTACTTTAAATAAAAAAATATACTGGTCTATACATGCAAGAAAATCATATTATAATTAGAAACGGTTTGCTCAAAATAACACTTAAACATGATACACTTTTTGTTTTTCATTACTCTGCCCATATCATACAATACACCCCTGTCTGGGACAGAACGATTTGTTTTTACGAATAGTCCAATATGATTTATATTAATTAAAGTTTTCTTTACTTCTATATCTATTATGTTTATGTTTTAGCCCAAGGTGAATTATTCTGAATGGCGACTGTTATATTTTATAGCATTTATACTATTAGTTGGATTCTTTGTACTTAACATGTTTGTTGGAGTAGTTGTAGAAAACTTTCATAGATGCAGAGAAGAACAGGAGAAGGAAGAAAAGATTAGGAAAGCTGCTAAGCGAGCGTTACAGATGGAAAAACGAAGACGAAGTAAGTATTTTAAAATATAATATTTTTCTTTTACCTAAACTCTCATAAAACCGTGAAATCATGGGATAGAATCGGATGACTCAATTTATTAAGCAATTTTTTTAGCCTGTTTTTTAGTTATTTTAATAATTTTCTAATCCTTAAATATTTTTTAGTTTTAAACCTCCTTTAAACATTTTTTTTATTTAGAGTCTTTTATCAAATTTTTCTTCACAAATAGTAAGCAATATCTTTCGCTTGTTTTTATATTGTAAGCGTGCAATTTAATTAACCCCTAAGAATTACGTGTTCACCCCTAAGAATTACGTTCGGGTGTAACAATTCATTGAAGCGAGTTGTATTGACTCGAGTCAAAACAGGAGTTACTCTACCGCACTCCAATGCTCCAGACCATCCCTTTCCCCCCTATAGCACTCTAATGTGCGATGGGGGCACAACTATCATCCAAATGCTCTTCATGTGGAGGTCCTGGGTAATAGAACCCCAACATGGTTTGCTAACCGATTGCAAAAACTCAGGACAGCGCATCTCCGCTATATTCCTGTTATCTTAATGTGGCTTATCCGCGAACTAAAATTGCTTACTTGTGCCTCAAGTCTACGTTCTGAGCTAGGCTGAGTTCGGAGACTTGGTGCTTAAGGGGTTGGATCCTACGTGGCTGGGTTTTTTGTTATGTTTTTGTTTGTGGCTTGCGCCGGTTTTTTGTTAGTAGGTTGTAACGATAAGACTACCAAAGAGAATTGAAGTACTATTGTAAAAATATTACCTCAATCAACAATGGGAGCTTATCGTATATGCCTTGCCTAGCTCAGTATCTTAAGTGTGAGTTCGTCTTGTCTTAAACTAGGGATTGAACCTGAACCCTTAGCTGATAGCAAATAAAACAAATTTTAACCACTCATATTTATTAAAAAATAAATAAAAAATAATAATCAACCCTACCAAACCTTAACAATAATTAGTGAGGATGATACTTATGGCTTCGATGGGCTGCTTGTGTGTCCTCCCAATTACATGTTATGTTCTCCGGAGAGTTGCAGCTGTAACATATGGATGTAGCCTGCTGATTAAGTTTAGTTAAGTCCTGTGGTTAGGTCCTCAAATGGTCAATAAATTTTCATAAGGTCAATAAAGCCGCCAATATGGTTAATTAATTCGATATGGTCAATAAACCAAAGAGAATGTTGCAGAACATAGAATAAAGCTTATTATAATGCCTACCTTCTTTTATAAATTTCAATTATAAACAAAAAGTAATTCCACCATTAAAGGTGATTGACAGAAAATAGGAAGGGACTGCGTGAAGTTAGCACAGATGTCATAGGATGTTCCTATGATAGATTTAGCTTTTCTGTCAACATAGAAGAATATTTATTCTACGGGACATGAAGATAGAGAAAAGAAAGACAGAGGGAGAAAGGGAAAAACAGAAGGCGCCAACTACTTTTGAAGAAAAAATAGTAAAAACGAAGCTGAAGATAAAGAAAAAAAGAATCCTTTTAGGAATTTTTTTGTAGGATGCCTGAAACAAAAAATCGGAATTAGTGCATATTAATATAATAATTATTAACTTAAAATTAACTGGATCCACGCTGTACGTTGCGATTGCCCACGAGTTTTTTTAAGCTACGAACTATCTTCTCTGTGCGTTGTTATTGTTGTTTTTTTGTAATGTTTTCTCTCCGTTGTTTTGTTTTCTCTCTGGTATATTTATTGATTTTCTCTCTAGTACGTTTGGTTTTATTCTACTATTTGTTGTTTGGTTCTCTTGTGTTTCCATCTGTGGAAAGCGTCGTACCTCATGATCTCTCGCAATATGTGTCTAGGATGGTTCTCTATCTCCGCGAACTTTGTCCTTGCTTTTTCCTTCATTATATCAGTCACTCTAATTTGTTGCAATTCTCTGAAGAGAAATCTTTCTGCAACGTATCTCGGTACGTTGACTGCTTCTCTTAGGCTGTTGTTATGTGCTGCTTGTATTTTTTTTTGTTGTGTCACATGTGTGTCCCCATGCGAGAGATGCATATGTTGGTATAGGAAGAATATATAGAAGAATACTTTTTATTAATCTTTTTTTGGTTTTCATTCTAAGTTTGCTTTTTCTTCCTGCTAGGCCTCTTATTGGCGCTTTAACCATGTTGGCTTTTTCTATCGTACCTTCTACGTGTTTAATAAACGTTAAGCCTTTGTCCATGATTACTCCGAGGTATTTCGCTTTGCGTTCTTCTGGTTGTTGGTATCTCTTTTTAAAAAGTATTTTAATATTACTCCAGTATTTTGTTTTTATATTACTCCAGTCGACAGGGGCGAAAATCCCACGGAACGTCTAAAAATCTTACGAACAAGCTGAATTTTGCTGACAATGTCAATTTGGGACCCCAAAAAAGATGAAAAAGTTTACCAAAAGGTTTTGTTCAAAATCATCTTAGCCATGTTTTTTATTTGAAAGATTTGTTCTACAGAACATACAGATTCTTAATAAATAGATTTTTTTCAGGTTTTTCTCCTCTTACGAAAGGGGTTTTAGATGGAATTGGGGAAAAAGTGATAAACTTTTTTGGCTTCCAAATTTATAGCTAAATCTGGATGCTAAAGAGTATCTGAGTTTTGTTAAACTAGTGATATTAGCAAGCGATTACAAATTCCATAATAAATGCTTGGCCTATTTTGAAATGAAGAAGATGAGCCCCTAATAAATCTAGACCCCGAATAAGACTAACGATTTTATTGTAATTTTTTAATGTCTGGTTTTGGCTAATGTCGCAGTTAGAAAAATGAATCGAAATAAAATTAGAAAAAATAAAATAAAACACTATCTATAATACGTAACTAGGTGAGAAACTGACATTTGTTCACCAAATATTCGTTTAAAAAAAATTTTTATATTTCCTCTTACTTCCCTATAACAGGAACTTGGTTATCAAAGCACGATAGTGATGGAATTTGTAGAAAAAACGAGAAATAAAAGCAAATATTTATTGATTATCATCATTATTATTGGCGCTCTAATTCATAGAAGGTCTTAGCCTACTCCAGAAACAGCTTCGATTCGTTCTTTTTATTGGCCTTGATTTTCCAATTTCTCTTAATACTCTTTTTCTATTTGACCCTTAAATTATGCTCTGGGCCTTCTTCTACTTTGTAGCGTCGATGTGTAATAAACATCCCGCACACACATTAAGTTCAAGGCCAGAATCGCTCAATTCGGAGAGGAAGGGCGGAGCAAGGTCAAGTGTATAGAAATTACATAATATCTCAAAAATCCAAACACTAAATCCACATAATTTATTATTGGACGCCACCCCTTGTTTATCCTCGTAGGGGACGAAAGAGAATAAAAAAAATAAGATATATAAAAAAATTTACAGCGAAATTACACTTTATTATTTCTCAGTAATAAAAAGAAACATTAAAAGTTATGTTATTTCTAAAGGATACCAAAATACCATTTCATAATTATATTACTATAAACAAAACAACTTTATATCTTTTTAAATCAAGAATTTGTTGATAAAAACAAATGAATTTATATATTATTCCCAAATTTCGAAATTCGTTTACATTTAAAATATTATAGTAGTTATTTATTAACTAGGCATAATAGAAAAGTTAAATCTTTAAACAAAATTTAAAACACTGCTATATTTTCTTTCTCTGAGTCCATAATTATTCTCGCTTTCTCGATAGGGTATAATAAAAAAAGAAAAGGTACAACCTCAATCGTCCATTAGTTGGCAACCATACACAAAGGATATGTTCTGCTTCCTCTCAACCTCCAAGCATTTCGTTAAATCAGTTATTAGGGGTCCATTTTTTAGATCATAAGGGATTATTGGGCTGCGTTTACGACAGCATAAGACTTCTCAGTTACCTTCGAGTCAAATAAACATAATTAATGATCTTTTATTGTCCCCGGTAAAAGAAGGTCTAAAAATAATTATTTATCTGAAAATATAGACAAAAAAAGGCCTTTTTTCTTTGGCTTACCCCTATATAGAGACCACTTCACAAAAACACGTCCTAACAGTTGGATGTTTGTAAGAGAAAACAGACAGATGCTATCATTTCCCGGTTTGAATTGGGGCGTGATTGACAAGTTAATAATCGTTCTCATCTATCGCATAGGTTTAGAATTACAGTAGAAATCTTGAGTCGGCTACAAGTACCCGGCAGATAGATGGGGTTAGCAGTTTTATTTAAAAAAAATAATCGAATTTACAATGAATTTCCTAAAACTTTTGAAACGGTTACAACTTCTCAATCCATCCGTTCTTTGGTTATAAATGTATTTCAGTGGCTCCATCTCGTTCATTCGCTTTATGGCCACCGCTGCCTGTTTATTTTGATAAACCTAGTATCAGTTTCATTATAGAGGTTGTAGAGCTTAAAATTATATCGTTTGTATTTATATGATGTTGCGTAATGGTCACTGATTCTTGATTTCGTATAAAGGTATCGTATGCAAACCGGCGATGTTCGATCATCCGCGACTACAGAGGTAGTACCAACGCGCTTGTCCCACTCTCATCCCCTAAAGCTTCGTATTATGCGTTCTAAAAACATCCGACTCCCGATTGTCACCGAGTACAATACGTCTGTTTTTTCTGCTAAGTTTTAAACGCTCCAAGGAACGCCATCTACTCCGGTAACACTTTGTTTTGTTTTAATTTTTTTATTGCTTTAATGACTTCTTCCTCGATTGGAATGTTATCTTTCTCTTTTTCGTCTTCAATATCTTACAGATCGATTTCTGCTTCTTGCAACCCTATCTCGATATTCTTATAGTAAGTCTTTCCTCAAAGTTTGCATGAACATTTATTATTGAATGATTCTTATTAAATGCTATTTATTGATTATAATAAAACGAAATACAATATAGACAGAATGGACAAGCTTGTCTGAAGGTAAACAAAGAAAAGACAGACAAACAAGAAATAGCCTCTGACAAAATTTTACGTCTTCGGTATTAACTTATAAAAACATATATAGGGTGTTTGCAAAGTTAGTATTGAGATTCTTAATTATTTATATGCAAAAATTCTTGTGAATACACTAGTTTATATTTACTAAATTTTGTTTTGTTACAGAAATGAATGAGCTTCCATATTACATTGATTATCCTCCCTGGAGATTGGAGATTCATAAAATAGTAACTTCCAAGTATTTCGATCTAGCCATAGCGTTGGTTATAGGTTTGAATGTCATTACTATGGCCACAGAACGTTACCATATGCCAAATTATTGGGAGTACGCTCTTAGAATTTTTAATTATTTCTTTACGGCCGTATTTATTTTAGAAAGTACAATGAAATTAGTTGCCTTAGGTATAAAGATGTACATCAAAGATAAATGGAATCTCCTTGATGTTGCCATTGTGATATTATCTGTAGTAGGAATTGTAATTGAAGAGATAGTGCAAGATCTGAAGATAATACCGATTAATCCAACAATAATAAGGGTATGTAAGCAAACAGGTATATTAAAAACACTTAAAATTTAGTGAACAATTATGAAAAAATATAACAAAAATCCTAATTATGTTACGAAGCCCATTTAAAAACGTTCCAAATAATATCTGAGGGACAAGTAAAAAAATCGGCTAAGGATAATCGTGACACGACTAAATTGAAACTTTAAATGTTAAAAGAAAATACAGGAAAAAATTGCAATAAAGTAGAAAAAAAAGAGAATAAAATCAAAGTGGGCTAAAGGAAAATATCACTGGACAAAATGATTTGTCCCGTTGTCCGATTAGACAACGAAAAAAATTTTTTTTTCGTTGTCTAAATAGCAAATTAATAAACTATTATTTTAGGTTTTAAGAGTAATGAGAATAGCACGAGTTTTAAAGCTATTAAAAATGGCAAAAGGTATAAGAGCTCTTTTAGACACCGTCATGCAAGCTTTACCACAAGTAGGAAATTTGGGACTGCTGTTCTTTTTATTGTTTTTCATTTTCGCTGCGCTGGGAGTGGAATTGTTTGGGAGATTGGACTGCAGCTTTACTCCGTGTCAAGGTATGATAAAGTACTAATGGATTTCGTTTAATATTAACATTGAATTGTGAAATTATGTGTTTAGTTTATTACTATTATATACAGGATGATTATTTGGTATTTCCAATTAGGCATTATAGAGAAACTTAACATTAATATCTGAAAATTAATAACGAGGGATTTTTAAATATGTATCCCCAATTAGTATTAAATATTTCAAAATGAAAAGCTTCCAATCACTTCTTGTTATACTGGAAGTTTCGTAAAACTTCCTTTTTTAAATATAATGTCCTGTATATTATTACACATTTTGATAGAACAGCTATTGAGAATTATCTCAATATAAGGCTATGCTATTTTATACCGAGTGTTTTATAAGATATGACCAATTTTATTTTGAAACACTTTCCAATTTCGCGCCTTATATCTTTATAAATAGTAAAACTAAAACCCTTTTGGTTGATACGATTTTTTTAGCATCATTTAGTTTGACAAAAATTTAACATTTTGTGAATAAAATAATTATTGTTCTGAAGCTAATGAATAATGCTCAACAACATTCAAAACAACACACATTGAGATCTATTTTATCTAAAACTAAACATAACAATGAACAAGAAAGAACAAAGAATTGTATTTATAAAATACCTTGTGAATGCGATCAGTTTTATTTAGGTGAAACATGAAGGTCATTCCCTGTTACAATGAGTGAACATTAATCTTATATTAAAAATAGAGAATTTGATAGATCTCAAATATGTAAACACGCATGGGATAATGAACATAGGTTTGAATGGAATAATTCAAATGTAGTCCTAAAAAAAACGGAGGGTAAAAAGAGAAAAATTAAAGAAGCTGCTCTAATTATGCTAAATGAGACCAAGTGTGTCGCAAATTCCTTAGCAGAATGCAGTAGGATTTGGTTACCCATATTGAAAGAGGAAGTTAATAAAAGGAAAATATTACTATTAGTATATCAATAAAATCTTGAGGATACGTTATTTATGTTCTCTAAATAACATAAATATAAAATCAGAATTTGGTGTTTATTCAGAGTAAACTCAGTGTAAGACCAAAAACTTACCATGTCGGGATAGTATTATGAGGTTTTCTCCTGGTTTTTTTCTCGTGATTTACTATGAAATCACTAACAGGAGACTGGAGCTCCAATTACATACGCACGCTAACAGGAGAATTTTACTGTCAATTCAACATTTAAACCAAAGTTGTCATTACTCCAGGAAGCATTTTCTAACTTCTCCATAACAAATTTAACTGAACGGCAATGTAACATGTACATATTTAGATCGGATGATGGAGGATGATGGATAAACTCCACCTCAAAACTATGTACTTATTGTTAATTGTCAATAATACAAAAATTTGTTCTACTTCACAATCAGGAGTTATCACTTTCTGCGCATTGATGTCATTTTTAACAACAATTAACAAACCTCCACCTCTAGGTTTTCCCTGTCGAAACAGGATTGCGATTATTTCTAAACACATTATAACCAGTAAGTCCTAATTCCGTATCACTATAATCACAAGTTACTGTCTTCTAATTATATGGCCGAAGTATTCTGTTTTTTCTCCTCTTTATGATGTTTATGAGCAAACGTTCTGAATTGATCATTTGAAGAACATTTTCATTGGAAGTATGCGAAACCCACGATATCTTTAGGATTCGTCTGTAGCACCACAATTCGAATGCTTCTAACTTGTTTAGCATTGTGGTTTTTAACGTCCACGACTCACAACCATTGTGTTATTTTCAGTTAATAGAAAATTAACCAATTATTACACAATCAAATTAAAGACATTTTAAACACTTGAAAAACCACAAAAATTAGCTTTAAATTGACGCCAAATTTATATTTAGTCAAAGACAATACAAGAAATGCGTAACCAGCTCAATGTCGATGAAAACGAACAGACAATATTTCGAGCACTATTGACATCTTAGAGCCATTCTTAGAGCAATGTTTTAAGAGCAATGTGTGGCGTTGTTGAGGCAGTACTTACAAAGAAGATAAAATAACAAATAATTAAAAGAATTGTATAACGAGATAAATTAAATTCATTAATTAACGTCAAAGAAGATATTAGGAAGGAATGACAAAATTATGCTCTTCCGTAAAACAAATACTACTATAAACAATTCACTTTATTAATAAAAATTTCTGTCTTAGGATTGGGAGAACACGCACATTTTCAAAATTTTGGAATGGCGTTTCTAACTCTATTTAGGGTAGCCACTGGAGATAATTGGAATGGAATCATGAAAGATACACTAGATGATGAACACTGTGATCACGGAGATGACTGTATTAACAATTGTTGCATATCTCCAATTATAGCTCCCATTTTCTTTGTTATATTCGTCCTAATGGCTCAATTCGTATTAGTTAATGTAGTTGTAGCAGTAAGTATTGTTATTATATAATATTCGCCAAAATAAACAGAACAGAAATTAAGATAATACTATGAAGTTGCACATTCAAAATTTAATTTATTTCTTATTATTAAAATCTATTTCGTTCTTCGTAAAAGTTAATGTGCCTTAATTTTTAGTCTTCTTCTTCAAGTTCCACTCCTATCGGAGATTGGAAATCATTCTGGCAATTAAAATTTTATTGGTTACTCGCCTGAATAGTTCAATTGAACTGCATCCAAACCACTCACGGAGATTGCGTAGCCACGAGATTTTACGTCTTCCTACGCTTCTTCTACCTTTGATTTTACCCTGCATTATATTCCTTAATAGTTCGTACTTTTCACCTCTCATGATGTGCCTCAAGTATTCCAATTTCCTGATCTTTATGGAATTTAAAACTTCGCATTGTTTTCCTAGTTGTTCGAGAACTTGTTCGTTTGTTTTGCGATCCATCCATGATATTTTCAAAATGCGTCGCTAACACCACATTTCGAATGCTTCTAGGTTTTTAATGTTGGATTTTTTAAGTGTCCAGGCTTCAACTCCATACAAAAGGGTAGAGAAAATATAACATCGAAGCATTCTTATCCGGAGCGATATATTGATATCGCGATTACAAAAAAGTTTTCTCATTCTATTAAAAGTTGACCGCGCAATTTCAATGCGGCATCTTATTTCTTTTGTCTGATCAGTATCTTCTGTGATCCATGCTCCAAGGTATTTGTACGAAGATATTTGTTCAATTTCTGTATTGTATAGTACTAGCTTAACTTTAATGTTTTGTGCTTTTGTAAATACCATGAACTTTGTTTTCTTCAAATTGATTTTTAGTCCATAATCGTTGCAATATATATTTAGTTGTTCAGCAAGGTGTTGCAGTTCTTCTAGTGTTCCTGCCAAAAGGACGGTGTCGTCAGCATATCTTATGTTATTAAGTGGCTCACCGTTTATTATAAGGCCCTCACTGATCTCGGCAAGCGCTAATTCTGAGATGGCTTCACTGTATAAATTGAATAACAAGGGTAATAAAATACACCCTTGGCGGACCCCACGGCGAATCTGGATATCCTTGGTCAGTTCGTTTTCAACTTTCACTTTTGCTGTTTGATTCCAATAGAGGTTACAGATGATTCTAATGTCTCTACTGTCTATGTTTTTATTTAATAAAATTTCTTTAAGTCGATTATGTTGCACTCTGTCAAATGCCTTCTCAAAATCAATGAAACAGGCATATACTTCCTGATTAATATCTAAGCATCTCTGCGAAAGAACACTTATTGCAAACAGTGCATCTCGTGTTCCCAGTCCTTTCCTAAATCCCATTTGTGTATTACTTATGCCTTCATCTAATTTCTTATGTATTCTATTGTGAATTACTTTTAAAAACAATTTCAAGACATGACTCATTAAGGCTATGGTGCGATGTTCATTGCACTCCTTTGCATTGGCTTTTTTGGGAAGCAGTATGAATGTTGATTGGAGCCATTCTTTAGGTATTATACCGTTCTATATATGGTATTGAATAGATCCAAAAGAAGATCAATAGATTCAGTATTCACAATTTTAAGTAATTCGATAGGAACTTCATCAGGCCCGGGAGATTTACCATATTTAGCTTGTTTCATTGCATATTCAATTTCTTCTCGTATAATGTCAGGCCCAGTATCATCCTTAAATTCTTTTGGTGCTTCTGTTCTCTCTTTGTCTTCAAATAGTTGTGCTATATATTGTGTCCATCTCTGCATTTTTTGGTTTATATCTGTTATAAGTGCACCACTTTCATCTCTTAGTTGCCTAGTTTGAAGTGTTTTTCTCATTCCTGTTAATTCTCTAATTCTTTTATGCATGTTAAAAGAGTCATATTTTTTCTCAATTTCTTCTAGTTCTTGGCACTGCTCATGTAACATTCTCTCCTTAGCTTCTTTTATTCTCTTTTTTATTAATCGATCAGTTTCATTATATTTAATTGGATTTTTTTGTTTTGAATGATTTTCTTTCATTCATTAATAGTAGTATTTCTTCAGTCATCCAATCTTTATGTTTTCTATTCTTATTAATTAATTTTTAGTACTTTCTTCTAAACAATCACATTAGCGTTTTTCAGGTCGCCCAATGACTTTACTAATTCTATCAACATGTTTACGCCATTTTATTTTTCGTTTTTGTACCCATAGTCAAGGATATGACGGTAAAAATAGTAGAAAATTTGTGAGTGAGTTCAATATACCCTCTACTTCAAAATCTACCTTATGCCAATATATGTTATTAATTTTTACGGTGAAATCTACGTACAAATATCTATAAGCTAAAAGTAAAGCTTATAACAGGTAGGAATAATGCTAAAAAATGTCGGCATTCGCATTCCACGACATATCTCCTCAACTTTAGATTCCCCATGCCTCTTTTAACATCTTTATCAACGTCTGTTATACCTTGCAATTTTTAGAAGGTTCAGATAAAGCAGAAATCTGAATTGTGTTTCGAAACTATTTTACGGATTTATTATCAGATGTCGCTATTGCGTCCATATCGAAGCCATTTTAGTGTTGCTTCTTAAAAGACAGAGAATATTTATTTTTCACGTTGAGAACGCATATGAATAACTGTTCTGATGAGACCTATTAGGTCGAAATACGTATAAACAGATACATAGACGTTTTGTGCGTGAAATCAAATATTTGCTGTCTTTTTCATTAAATAGCTTTATCTTTTTTAGACTGTTTAAATTCATTAAAATTCTTGCCATTAAGTGCTTTCATTGCTTCGATTCCAACAAGCAGCGCATCGCAACAATTTATCTCCTCTGTACCAATCAAACCTCTTACAATATTGTTTCTGTAGTTCCGGCAGGCTTTTGACAAGAACAACTGTATTATTGGCATATCTTTTTGGATCTGTTTTGCTGTTGACTATGCTTTCTGCTCTATGACCTATAAGACCCTCTCATCATTATCATCATCATCCAGCCTTCAATTTTTGGTAAAAAAAAGAGGCTCTGCCAAGATGTTTTTCGAGTACAGTTTAAAGAGTTGTGAGCAGAAAATACATCCCTGTCGTACACCATCTTCATTTTGGATTCTGTTTATTTTGACGAATATTTGTACATGTCTATATAAAAATATTTGTACATTTCCTAGGTTCTAATGAAACATCTAGAAGAGTCTCACAAACAATTAGAGGACGAACATGATATGGACGTTCAATTGGAAAGGGAATTTGTTGAAAAACAGGAAAGAACTGCAAGAGAGCTATATCTCGCCCTTCAAGCTGACCAAGAGTGTCAGTCACAAAAGAAAACCTTAGTTAAAGTAAGATTTTAGTTATTTAGCATATAATCGTGTTACGTACACACATGTAATTAGTAGTTCTTGTAGAATTTATTGAGAATTAAAGATATATTTTCTTAACAAATACTTTATTTCCTACTCGGTGGTGCATTTAAATATTGTCAAAAACAATTTATTTTACTGTAGTAAAAATTTAAAATTATTGGATTTTAAATCTAATATATGAAATAAAATAATAGTAGGCAAAATCTATAAATTTATTGTTCGGTATTCAATAAGGTAGATAATTTGTATTAAAACAATTCAACTAGATTTCTTCACAGGACCAATCTATTTTTTATATCAAAAACAGGTTAATTCAGGTACAATTACGTCTGAACGATGAAGCAAAAGACATTATGACAAAGTACACCGAAGAATATAGTAAAGACCCATCTAGCGAAGTTATAGCAGAGATAAGGGAAAGACTGCAGCAAATACTAAGTGCCTCCAGGCAACAACGGTGGAGCGAGACTTTAAGCCAAATGGATATGACGCACGGCACATGTAAGCAGGCTTAGAATATGATCAAACTTAATGGTGATTCCACAGAGATGAAAGAGCTATGTGTAATAACGCCAAATCAGATAGCCCAGCAACTGCTTCTCAATGGCAAAACAAACAATCGTTGCAAAACAATCAGATTATAAGAACTCAAGACCAGGAAACAACTTTCTTGCGAAACCCATTTACCATCGAAGAGCTTAAAAATGGTATTGACTGTATGAAAAATGGAAAATCACCTGTGGCGGTCGAAATCCTAACAGAGCAGATAAAACACCTCGGGCAAAAAGCGAGACAATGGGTGCTCGATCTATTTAACATCTGTCGCTCTACCTACCAGGTTCCAAAACTGTGGCGTAAATCAAAAGAAGCCCCTTCTGAAACCTGGGAAAAACCCTGAACTACCGAGTAGCTACCGTCTGATATCTCTGCTATGCCATTTGTATAAATTGTATGAACGCCTCATTTTGAACCGCATCCAGGAAACATTAGATGCAAAACTAATCCCACAACAAGCAGACTTCAAACAGGTAAATCATGCACAGGCCAAGTGGTGAACCTAACAGAATACATAGAGGAGGGAGGAGGGACTTGAGCAGAAATAGATAGTATGAGTAGCCTTGATAGACCTTACAGCGGCCTATGATACGATAAACCACAGAACCTTGCTAACTAAGATCTATAACACTGTGCTTAACTATGACCTGGTAAATATCATTAGATCACTGTTGTGTAATAGACGCTTTTACGTTGTGCTAAATGGAAAGAAGAGCAGATGGAGAACCCAAAAAAACGGCCTACCTCAAGGAAGCGTTCTGACGCCGTCCTTATTTAACATCTACACCAACGACCAACCAATGCACCCTCAGACTGAGAGTTTTGTTTACTCTGATGCTCTTAGTATAGCCGTAAAAGGGGAAAACACTCACACAAGTAACGTCGACAATGGAAGAGGCTTTAAACATGATGTCAACTTACTACAAACAAAACCCATTAAAGCCAAACCGTACTAAAACCCAAGTATATTCATTCCATCTCAACAAACAACTAGCGCTTTTAAAACTGATTAATTGTTTCTTGGGAGGGACAACGCTTGAAACATACTGATAGGCCCAAATATGTTGGAGTGATACTAAATCGGTCACTAACGTATAAATTCCACTGGCAGAGCACAAGACAAAAGGTTTCTATAAGAAACAAACCTTTTTCGGAAACTTGTAGGGAGCAAGTGGGGTGAAAACTCCGGGTCTTGAAGGCTCAGGTCTTATGTTTCTCAACAGGAGAATATGCTTGTCCCGTCTGGGGTAGATCTAGATACGCCCAACAAGTCACGACGGCGCTAAATGAAACATGTAAAATAATTACCGGTTGTATGAAACCTACCCCTCTACCCCTACTGTACCGGGTAGCTGTATTCGCATCACCAGACAACCATAGATGCGCCTGACAATATGTGGAGAAGTTCAGGCAAACTTTCGATATAAGGCACCAATTATACGGGTTTGATAAGCCGCCAGGAATCAGCTGACTTAAATCAAGGAAAAGGTTTATGAGAAATGTCAGCGTCGAACTACCCGAATTGTTCCCCCACATCCAGAACGACCTAAGGAAATGAACCTGGACTGGAAAACCTGGCGGATAGTCAACCGCATACGCACAGGTGTTGCCCCTGTAAAACAGAACCTCATTAAATGGGGCATCAAGACAGATAGCGACGCACTTTGTGAATGTGGGGAAATACAGAACGTGGAGCACCTGAGAGTATGCAGACTTTGCCCATCACTGTGCACCCTCGATGATTTATGGCTCGCAAATACAAAGGGTGTAGACGTATCTAGACACGAAAAAGTAAAGTAAAGTACGTTATTTAATACTAATACTAATTAGTTTACAATATATGAAAAAGATGAGATTCTTTAAGGAAATTTACAATGTTGCTTACGTTACAGATTCCGTCTAATAATATTTCTTTTTGTGGGTAGTGGCAGTGTAGCTCAGTGGCTATGTTTATGGCTTAACAAGCTGGAGGGTCCGGGTCCGCATCCCGGCACCGACAAAATTTTCAATTTCTTATGTAACTGAGCTGCCACTGTGCTTCGGAAGGCACGTAAAGCCGTCGGCCCTGCTACAAAAGTAGTCGTTAAGTTATGTTAGGGGCGCTTGCGGAACCTGAAAATCCTAACACTAAACCTTAGAAAGGGTACACGAACTTTACTTTTCATGGATAAATTTAACACTGTTTAAGTGTTTTACATTTAGAGTTGTCTTATATCTATCACATACAGGTTGATTCCTTCCGTCAAATAAAAGTATACAAGTGTTATTCATGTATGATCTAAACTTATCCGTCAATTTTGTTTTTATAGACAATTCGACTGGGATTTATCCCATTCATTTTGCGACTTACACTGGATTTTGAATTTATTCACTGTTTTAATGTCACTAGCAACCAGTTTAATCACTATTGTTGACTTCTCGTTATTTTTTGCATCTCTAGCACAGAAAAAAATTAATTATTTCTAAACTATACATATTTTTCAGAAAATCTAAAATATGCCGATTCCAAATTTTAATTGGCTACAATTAAAAAATCATCAATTTTTTAATGCATTAACTGTATTTATAACTAGAACAACTGTAGATAACTACCAGACAAATAAAAGAGAAGAAAAGAGGATACGCAAAAGGAAAAAACGAAACCACCTAAATGAGGAAATTAAATATATAGAAAACCTCAACAGAGAGAAAGGATTCAGCGCATTCTATAAACAAAATTAACATCAACAGAAAAAATTCAAGGCAACTACAAGAAAATGCAGTAGCTAGAATGGCGACCTATTAACAACAAAGAAAGATGTAATGAATAATTTAACCAGGCACTTAATACAGAGGAAGAAGAAGAAAACCTGGAAGATGAAAGAGAAGAGGTAAGTGGACAGAGTAAGTGGAAGTGGTAAGTGGAACCAACGATTCTTGAAGTTAAAGATGCAATTAAAAAACTAGTCAGAAACAAACTACCTGTAATAGATAATCTCCCAGCTAAACTATATCAAGAAGTTAGCTATGATACCATAATGGCATTACAGCAGCCGATAAAAGAAATATAAACACAGAAACTTATAATCGAGGGTAAAATTGAAGGCAAGAGAGGAATGGGACGCAAGAAAATGTCCTGGCTCCGAAACATAAGGCAATGGACAGGGATTAACGACATACAATCTCTGATACATATTGCAAGAAATAGAGAGTTAATGGAAAATGTGATCGCTAACATCCATTAGTGGATTTGCATCTGAAGAAGAAGAAGAAACACAGAAATCCCTCCCCAGTGATTGGAATATTGGAATGCTTTGTACCATACAAAAAAAGAAGATATTATCGAATGCTCTGACCACAGAGGAATTACCCTTCTAAATGCAGCGTATAAAATATTTTCCACAGTACTATGTCAGCGTATGGCACCATATGCAGAACGGATAGTAGGAAAATACCAGGCTGGTTTCAGAGGTGGTAAATCGATAATTTATCAGATTGCAACTCTGAAACAAATTTTGGAAAAAACACTGGAATATGGCATTATACTCATCACATATTTATAGACTAAAAAGCAGTCTACGACTGTGTGAATAGATGAGAAATATTCAAAGCAATAAAAAAGCTAAGAATAATAAAACAGTTGGTAAATTTAACAAAACTAACTCATGAAAAAGTTAAATATAGAGTACGAATTAAGGAGAAACTGTCTGAACCTTTTAAAACAAATAACGGGCTGCGCCAGTGAGACCCTTTCTCCTGTATGCTGTTCAATCTGGATCTGAAAAAAATGCCACTTCAACATCAAATGTCCATTTTAATATTAATTCTGTGAAAAATGTGTTTAATTAACTCCAAAGTTTTTTAATAATATTAATCAAAGATTTTAAGTATGTGTATTTTTATTTAATGTTATTAAAAGTAAAAATATTTAAATGCATCACATATTCTATCTCCCAAATACCTCTCTGAATCTCTGAAAATGTATGTGCTTTTAGGGGCATGAGCCGGGCAGAAAAGTGTAAACTTAAAATGTTTCTAAATTTTCTTTTTTAAACTAAGCCGTAGAAAATACTATCTAAATTTATAGTAAAATAAATTATATCATTAAATTTTTAGCTCTTCATTGGTATTTTGGAAAACATTTTTTAACAATATAGGTTACATAACGTATATTGACGTAATAAATTACAAAAAGCAACACGGGACAGTTGAGCAATATCTACTTCTTCTTCTCATGGCGCCGTCTCCTTTTGAAGGTTGCCGATTCAAATGGCAATTGTGGTTTTGGAAACTGCTGCGCTAAAGATTTCTGCAGGTGAGCAATCGAACCATCTCCTTGGGTCTTTCAGCTATGAGTTCTGGCGTCTTCCTACTGATCTTTTGCCCTGTACTTTTCCTTCCAGTATAACTTAAGTAATTCATATCTTTTGCCTCTCAACACATGACCGAAGTAT